TTTGTCTCCTAAAAGCTGGAATAACTCTTTAATAGCTGCAGGCTTTCATTGATGAGGAAACCAAACGACAATCTCACTAGGTTAAAAAATAGCCCTAGCTGTGTCCTTGTGTGCCCTGCAGCACCCTGACCAGCTGTGGAGGGTTCTCAGCTCCATCCTTGCACAGTGTCTGCCAGGCAGAGGGAGGTCACCTCTCCAGCAGACTGAGGAGCACAGGTTGAAACTAAAACCATCCAACTGGCTTCAAAGGCTGTATTTGTTGCCCAAAGAGAAGTGATTGGATTTCTTTGTACCCTCCCCACCACAACAGTTAATGCCCATTAGCTTCATTTTGGCCAGATGGTATTTAAAAGAAACACAAATACAAATTGGTATCACAATACCCAGTACCTACACAACTGACCATCAAGTGAATTGGGTTTGAATTCCAGGGGATTTGAGGGTTATTTTTTTTCCTTTGCTGATTTTAGGGTGAATAAGGTGAGATTTTAATATTTTTTTTGTTCAGTAGTGCCAGAAGACCAGAGATTCTCCACGATGTTTGTCATGAGTGCAGGAAGCTAAAAAGAGTCGCCACCAAATCTTACATTTAAGTAGCTTAAGTGGTGAGATTCCAATATTTTTTTGAGCTGGTAAGTTCAGTGAGTGATGTGAATGAGCATTGTGTTTTGAGCAGCCTGAGGATGCTTTTCTCCTGGAGCAGGAGGACAGGCAGGGAACGTGCTGCCACGTGCATGTGGCTTTGGCCAGCAGCCCGGGTGGGTCAAGAGCCATCTACAGGTTATCTCCCAGGAGTGTGTTTTAGGGCTGGACACGTTGCATTTGTTATTCCAAACAAAGCTGCAGCCAGAATCAGGTTTTCATGTGTTTTCTTCTCTGTGGCTGCTCATTTTGCTGCCTGCTTGTCCTGCTCTCTCTCTGGAGATGCAGGAGGGTCAGTGGAGGTGCTACAAGCTCATTCTGAGAACGTCCATCATACAAAGAAGTCACGTAGGATAAAACTCAGAAAGCTGCCAAACCACCAGCTTGGTTTGCTGTGAGCTCTGGCTTGGTTGGGAACCAGCTGGGATGGATTCACCCATCTAAACCTCACAGGTTCCAAGCCTGGGTTGGCAAAGGGCTGGGACAGCAGCTCTGGGGTCCTTCTGGGCACGTGGGATTTGTGGGTTCGGGCTCTGGCCCCAGCTGGTGATGAGTGGTGGGGAAGAACTGGCCCCTGAGGGATGCTGGGGGGGTGGACTTGGTGCTGGTCCTGGTGGGCTGGCGTGGAGAGGGGCTGTGGAGCCAGCTGGCATCAAAGGCAGTGCAGGTGAGGAGCAGCTTTGGAAGGAGAGAGTTGAGGCTCTGCCTTTTATTCTGGGTATTAAGCAATTTTAGAAAAATCACATTTTCCCTTTCCCTTGGGATTTTAAAAACGCCTTCGAGGAGGTTCAGTCTGTGGGAACTGCTCAGGGTAAGGACATCCTCCTGTAGCTTTTTCCTCCTTTGATACATGAACAGAACATGGTGCAGCTCCACGTTAGCTGAAGGAAATTGCATTGACATTTTTAGTAAGTAGTTTTATGCCAGATATGAAGTAGTAATAGCAGACATTTAAAAGAAGATTTACTTGCACTGCTGTCATATCCCAGCAGGTTCAGGCTGCTGGAGTTGAGGCTGTGTCAGCACTTGGGGCTTTCTGTGGTGTAAAACTGCTTCTGAAGGGGTTTGATTCATGGCTTTGGATCATACAGTGCAATATTATACATATTTAACAGGGGGCTCAGTATTACTTTCATTTATGAGTGATGTGGGGTAAAATTTTTAGTATTTAAGTGATCTCAAGGTTCTTATGAGCTTGGGTTTTTGTCTTAAAGAAATTAGAAGCTGTAACTTTAGAATTCTTGTAACTTTAGCTTTTTCTTTTTCCATCAGAATAGTATCTTACTGTAGGGCTCCTGATTTTACACATTCCAGATGAAAAAGCTGAAGGTCAATGATCAGCCTTCCCTTTTGGAATGAGCAAAGAGAAGATCAAGGGTTAACACTTTCCCTCACAGCCTGGCCAGATGAAGCCCTGTGGATGCAGGACCATCTGGGGAGTAAGTTCCCATGGGAGGCCAGGGGATGAACTGGTGCCAGCCCAGTGGGGCTGGAGGTGCTGTGTCCTGTCTGGGGGGGACCTGGGTGACCGAGTGCCCCTCAGGCAACTTCTGGGTGTACTTCTGTGAGGAACAGGTTCAGGAGGTTTGAGGTGGATTGAGAACTGGGTGAATGATGGAGCTCAGAGGGCTGTGGTCAGTGGTGCAGAGTCCAGCTGGAGGCCTGTAGCTCGTGGTGTTCCCCAGGGGTCAGGGCTGGGTCCAGTCTTGTTCAGCACATTCACCAGTGGCCTGGCTGAAGGGACAGGGTGGACACTTGGCCAGTTTGCTGGTGATACCAACCTGGGAGCAGTGGCTGACACAGCAGAGCTGTGCTGCCATTCATGAGACCTGGGCAGGCTGGAGAGCTGGGCAGAGAGGAACCTCACAGAGTGCAACCAGGGCAAGTGCAGGGTCCTGCCCCCAGGGAGGAATAACCCCCTGCACCAGGACAGGGGAGGGGTGACCTGCTGGGAAGCAGCTCCACACAGAAGGACCTGGGTGTCCTGGGGGACAAACTGCCCATGAGCCAGCCATGTGGCCCCCTTGTCCTTGGCCAAGCAGGCTGGTGCTATCCTGGGGTGCATTCAGAACAGTGTGGCCAGCAGGTCAAGGGAGGTTCTCCGCTCCCTCTGCTCTGTCCCAGTGAGGCCACGTCTGGAGTACTGGGTCCAGTTCTGGGCTCCCCAGTAAAAGAGAAACAAGGAGCTACTGGAGAGAGTCCAGGGGAGGCTCTGGAGATGCTGAGGGGCTGGAGCCTCTCCTTGCCAGGACAGGCT